ACACTCATTTGGGACACTCTTGCGGGACACTCTTGTGGGACACTCTTCTAGGCCCTCTTGTGGGACACTCTTGTGGGACACTCTTATAGGACACTCTTGTAGGAAACCCTTGTGGGATACTCTTGTAGGACACTCTTGTGGGACACTGTTGTAGGACACTCTTGTGGGACACTCTTGTGGGGCACTCTTGTGGGACACTCTTGTGGGACACTCTTATAGGACACTCTTGTGGGACACTCTTAACTCTTGTCAGACACTCTTGTGGGACATGGTTGCGGGACACTCTTGTGGGGCACTTTTGTGAGACACTCTTACGGGACACTCTTGCAGGACACTCTTGTGGGACACTCTTGTAGGACACTCTTGTGGGACACTCTTACGGGACACTCTTGTTGCACACTCTTGTAGGACACTCTTGTGGGTCACTCTTATGGGACACTCTTGTCGGACACTCTTGTGTGACACACTTGTGGGACACTCTTGTGGGACACTCTTGTGGGACACTCTTGTGGGACACTCGTACGGGACACTCTTGTGGGACACTCTTGTGGGACACTCTTGTAGGAGACTCTTGTGGGACACTCTCGTGGGACACTCTCGTGGGACACTCTTGTTGGAAACTCTTGTGGGATACTCTTGTAGGACATTCTTGTGGGACACTCTTGTAGGACACTCTTGTGGGACACTCCTGTAGGGCACACTCTTCGTACGAGACTTCCTCCAAAAGTCACGCTGCGAGGCTGCAAGACGAGCGTTTCGTACGAGACTTCCTCCAAAAGTCACGCGCCAAGTCTCAAAAACGAGCGTTTCGTACGAGACTTCCTCCAAAAGTCACATGTCAAGTCCCCAAAACGAGCGTTTTGTACGAGACTTCCTCAAAAACTCACATGTCAAAGTCTGCAAAACGAACGCTTCGCACGAGACTTCCTCCAAAAGTCCAGCGGAAACACCCATCGGAGCACACACATCACGCAGCCCTGCCAAGCAGTTTCGCGATTCCAGCCCCTCCACAACCCACAACCTCCCGATTCCCTGCGCCTGCCACGAATCTTTCCGCGTCCACATGTCTAACGCGCGCAAAGTACTGCGCCTGCCACGAAATGTCACCTCCGTCACACCTCGCAACCTCACGATTCCCTGCGCCTGCCACAAGACTCGCACTTCCACACCTCAAAAGCCACACCAAGTACTGCGCCTGCCACGAAAAGTCTCATGTGAGCTTCAACAAAATTTGCACCACCACCACCACCACACGTTTGCAATGATTTCGACCCGTTCTGAGCACACTCCCATCCACCAAAATCGGCATTTCAGCTGAGACTTACCACGAAAACAGCGCTTCGATGCCACACCCTGCAACGCAAATCCCAATGGCACGGCCACATCTCTCCAAACGCTTTAATCCCAATGGAACTACGCAGCACTCTGCAGATCTCACAAAACGCTGCGCCTGCGCAGCGAAACGCATCACGTTTCTTGCGCCACATCTCATTTTCATGCAAATCACAATGGAATAGCGGCGCAAACTGACACGTGACACATCCATGAAAAGTCACTTGGAAAAGCTTTCCCCAATGGCAGCGCCTTAGCGTCCTACTGCGGACGGTTGCGAACGGTTGCGGACGGTTGCGAACGGTTGCGGACGGTTGCGAACATAGAAGCAACGGGTCGCGAACAAGGCTCTACCCCCAGACCCCCAAGAGTTAAACGAGAACCCTTCGCTACGCATTCGGGAAAAAGATTTCATAAAACCGAAGTGACTGGAGCTTTAGAAGGTTCAGTCACGGGTTTTAGATGGTTTTAGACCTCCGTCAGGGTCCGGTCGACCAAGCCACTCAGTGCTGTTGCACCGGTCGCTGCTTGGCACTCCAACTCGGCACGGTGCTCCACGAGCAGCTGCACCACGGCCAAGTGCCCCTCGCGTGCCGCGAGCAGCAGCGGTGTGACCTGAACGGGTGTCTGAGCTGGTCGGAGCTTGTTCAGTTGTCTAATTCTTGGCAAATCACAACAGGCTCAGGATTGGTGCGAGAAATCAACCAAAAAATATGAGTCGGAAAAAACCATGCTCCCTTCCTCTCGGGACAGATCCTGCCAAGCCATCACCCAGCAGGAACTCTTTGAATTTGGCAAAAGGCATCGGACTGTTTTGGCTGAGGGGACGATGGAGATTCTAGTATAAGTTATAGAACATTTAAAAAAAAACAGTTCAATGTAATACATATAATATACATAGATAGTCATACAAAGGAGAGGGCGTAGTTGTGTAATGGAGGACTTGACGCTTCAAGAAATGATCGCAATGCAAAGCGGACTCCTTGCAAATAATCTTACACTCTAAGCCACAAACTAAATCTAGTGATCTCTAATCAATCCATGAGTTGGGGTCGGATGGTTCATCCCACTAATACTACATGCTACAGCTCTATCTTAGATCAATTCCTCACCGAACTGGGCTGCCTTAGTCAAAGGGAACTGGTCCAGGATATTGGGACTTGGGACTGGCATGGGCAGCTTCAGGTCCGTTCCCAGCAGTCACGTCAGTCGGGGTCCGCTTCCCAGTCGGGCGGACGGGACGAAGGGGTGCCTCGCTTCATCAGATCCACTCACCAGTTGGGGCACTTGCTGCACACCACCCCCAAGTCCAATGTGACTTCGACTCGTCCTTCGAACCAAACCGAAGTCCGCCAGGCGAACGGCGGCCCAGGCGAACGGCGCCTATTATTGTGTGCGAGGCGATATCTCGCGAACGTTGAATCGGATATTTGACATGGGGGTCCGGTGTGATATGGGGTCCTCATCTCATCTGCAAACACATATTCTTCCTTCACTTGTGGGATCCACCATGGTTTATCACATGAGTTGACACCGGGAAAGAACACATGAGAAGCGCCTGATAGGCGAGAAATCCCTTCTCAACACCCGATCCCGTTCGGAACCAGCGCACGGGGCGCACGCGGCGCACGCGCGGCGTGCCATATGGTTTGCGCAGGCGTTGGGGTCTGCTCGTAGGTCGCCTGCAAAGGCGCAGCGTGGGGCGTGTAGCGTGTTTGGGTGGTGAAAGATGGTGGTGAACGTGCTGATTTGGGGAGGTGGATGAGCTGATTTTGGCAAAGGTCAGGAGTAAACAAATACACTGCCTCTTCTTCCTGGATGTTTTTTTCATCAGGGTGAGACTTCCTCCAATTAATGTTTTCCCTGTCATTGACATATGGGTACAATTGGGTACACATGTTTATAGGGAGAGCCTCCAACCAATGGGTTTTAGTGGATGCTTGATCTTAACCTCATTTCAATACATCCCCAAAGTCTATCCTATGTCATCCAGGGTCCCGTTTGGGATGATGATGGGGCCGGAGGTGGCAGGCCTTGTTTCAAAAAAAATGAACACTGCTTGTTTCCAGGTCCTGTTACAGGTCAGTTCGGACCGACACAACTCATATCCATCTATCTTTTTTTCTGGATGGAGTACACTCCCAAACACCAACATAGACCCTGACGTCCTGGCCCCCTGGAAGAGTGTTTCCTCTACCAACCAGTGGTTTTCAGAGTCCATGGGATCGTCTTCCAGGGCGTACGGAGACCATGTCTCTTTGACGTCAAAAACCACCCGTATTCACATGCGCAGGGTGAACCTGCGGCGGGATTTGCGACTGGCTTTCTTCAGGGTGAGGGGGCTTTCTTCAGAGCTTTCGGTGAGCACGGGTGACCTGCTCATTGGAACATATTGGAACTGAGAACACACAATTTAATTGATAAAACAACCATCTGTACTACTCATCTGTGACTGCTTTCCTGGTACTACTCATGTCATGTTTGGTCTCCTTCAACCTAATAGATAAAACAAAAGAAACTTATTGTCAAAAACTTCACACCCTTTGGTCATAATCTGTCCAGAAACAGCACTTAGTGCTGTCCGAGATTCACAAGGACCTCAGCTGCGCCCGCGCCCCATGTGGTTGAGAACCCCACTGAGGGGCCCCTGGGCCCCTAAAGGGTCGGGGTCGGTGTTGTTACACAGTTTTGCTGGAAAACATCATGTATTCCTAGGCTGAAGACTGGGATGACTTCCAACACGTTCAAATTAGAGTATACATTGCGTGGCGCAAAGGTGTCTCAATAAGAAAGTCTGCTGATGAGGTTTCTTACATTGCTAGCCTATGCTTTGCTGGCACACTCTGCAGATCGGACCGTCGAGGAATAAGTTCCAATCACTGCCTGAACGGGCACGGAACTGCCGGTTTGTTCCAGACTCCGACTAAAAACATGGATCACTGTGCAAATCATTCCTGGAACACAACATCAACAAAACATCCCAACGTGCATTTCAACTATGTGTACAAATCAAATCGAATGCATTGTTGTTTACACCTCCAATATCTGAAATACATTCCACAATCTTATGTTGTTGAGCCTTGTTTGGTCAACACCCATCCCATGTGCAGCGTCCAGCGGCTCTACAACTTCCACATGTCCCAGCGCCGCTGCCAGATTCAGCGCCGTAGCACCGTCACCACGTTTGGCGTTGATGGCCAGCGGATCGTCGAGGAGGGAACCCAAGTGCTGTACGCTGTGCAGATCGTTCCTAAGAAGCGATGAGAAGCAATTTGGGTGTTTGATCACCGGGTCGAACTCTACCAAGGGAAGGGGGATCAGGTCATACATGTATTCTGCGTACACAAGGTATGCAGATGGAGGGTCAGGTGTTGAAAAGGCATTTTCAATCGTGGGGGTCAAACATAAATTGCATTTTGTGTGTTCCTTCGGTGTTTTTTGGAAACACCGGCCCAAACACACCGGCTTTGGGACGTGTATCAAAAGGCAGGGGGATCAAGACCCGAATGTATGCACAGGTGACACACTCACCTGTGCACATCGCCTCATCTACATCTTTGGGCATTTGCGGCCATTGTATGAACAGGGGGGATCGAACAATTCCTGAAAATTATGGAAACTGATTTTCCTGATAATGTATGAAAGGGAACAGGGGACATCCACAATCGTCATGAAACTGGCTTCCCCAAGTTGTGTACAAGGCTTGGTCCTGTGCAAGGGCTATGGCACCCAAGAAGGTGATGAAGGTGGCCATGAAAAAGGTGACCAAGAAGCCTTCAGGCAACCCTCCAGTCCCCAACAAGGATGAGGAAATGAGTTTGGAGGACAAGATGGAGTTGTTTGTGAGGAGCAAGCAACAGAATGTTGCCAACTGGCTGGACACCTTGACCAAGGGACAAAGAGAAACTTTGTGGCAGCGCTTCTCCAGGGCCAGAGATGGGCTCAAGGACCCAGTTGTTACTAACATCTGGGAATCCCAGTGCAAAGGTCCCAAGTCAGACCCTCTCAAAAAGAGGTTGCTTGGTGTGTTTCTGAATGCCCAAGGGGACCTGAAGAACAGCCAAGCCTGGCAAAAGGAGATGGTGACTTTGAGCAAAAGCACAGGTCTCTTGGACACATATGTTTTTGATCAACTTTTGCTTGTTTGGCCACCACTGTTTTGACAATTGCCCCACTAAGGCTCCAAGACTTCTGAGTCATGGGTGCCTTTCCAGACCATACTGCTCCGCTTTGGGCTTCAGGAAGCAATGCGCAGGGTCACAGTCCTAGCACTTGCTGCTGACTTTCCTATTCATGCACCAAGTATCCCTTTCTGCATCTGAGGTGAACAAGGGTAGCATTGTATGCAGGAGGGATCCAGAGGACACTTCTGAGTGGCAGTTCTGCTTGAAGAAGGAGCAAAAATGGGAGCAGACTGAAACCAAGCATGAGCACAAAGGGCACCAAGTTGGAAAGCAGGAAGCTGTCTCTTGGATGAAGCTCAAAGCTGCTGCTGGTGTTGGGACACAAGAAGGTAATGCCACAGAGGCCTTGGAGGCTGTGTGTGGCAGGAAGGGCAAGGCAGCTTTGGCCATCGAAGATGGCAATGCAAAAGAAAGTGAAGATGAGAGCCCAGCAAAGCCAGCAAGCTCCAAGAAGAAGAAGAAGCAGGATGCTGATGAGGTGGAGGCAGATGTGCTCAGTGACATGGGAGGCACACCTGCATTCCAGGAAAGAAGTTGGCAGCAGCCATGATGCTTGCCTCAGGGAGCCTGAGTCAGCACTCAAGGCACTTCTGAAGAAGAAGGCATCTGCAGAGGCGGCCAAGAAGAAGCTGTTTGACTGTGCACTTGCCATCAAAAAGGCCAAAAGGCTGCAGGGAGAGGATTCCTGAGCAAGGGATGTGTAAAGAAGGGTCCTGCACAAGGGCTGAAAACTCAAGTGGCTTGTGTGGCAAAAAGCTCACTGGCAGTCACTGGCAAACCTCCAGGGTTGGGCATGTGCTTTCACTGTATGTGCATCAAGTTTACCTTTGATTGGGTAGCCCTTTTTCAATTGCTTTTGCATTCCATCTGGGTCCTGAGCAAGGGCTCTTTCTCAATGCAGGGCCCTGCACAATGGCTCCAGTGAGTCATGGCAAAATGGAAAAATGTGAGTCTGATGAGCTTGGTGTGCCACAGCCTTACATTGTCGAGCTTCCAATCCAAGCTAGGAGCTCTGAAGGCTGGTACATGACCAGCAAGCCACTTGGCATGTTCCTTCCCCATGAGTGGTTCAGCTGGCTGGAGAACCATAAGGAAGCCTCAGGCTTTGCTCACCTGGAAGCCTTTTGGGAGGAGCACAGTGCTGATGATCCCAAGTTGGCTGGCAACCCCATCGTGAAGGAAGGGAGGCATCATTTCTTCCCCATGGTACTCCATGGTGATGGTGGCCAATTTCACAGGGGTGACTCAATCCATGTGATCAGCTTGCGCTCTTTGCTTAGCAAAGCAAATGTTGCTTCCTCTCAACTTTTGCTCATAGCAATTCCCAAGCAGTGTTGCCACAAAAGCAGCGCAGCTCATGATGATACCATGGCCCAAGTATGGTCTATCTTCAAGTGGTCACTGAACCACATGTTCTTTGGAAAACACCCAGAAGTGGACCATCTTGGCCAACCATGGCCTGCAAACAGCCCAAGAGCTCTCAAGGCTGGCACTGCTTTGAACACCCAGGGCAAGTGTGGCTGGCTCTTTGCTGTTTCATGTGATGGAGAGCATCAAATGAATGAGCTAGGACTTCCTGGCCATGCTGACAATGCTTGCTGCTGGATGTGTGGGGCAAACAAGTCAACTGTCCCATTCAATGACTTCAGGCCATGTGCAGCATGGAGGAAGACCAAAGTTCTTCACAAGGGCAAGTGCCCCACTTCTCACCAGCTGGGAGAAGTCAATGGGGTCACTGGTGACACCTTTGCCTTGGATACACTTCATGTCATGGATGAGGGAGTAATCTCCCACACTCTTGGAAATGTTGTATTCGATTTCATCTGCAAACCTGGATGGCCAGGGACAGTGGACCAAAAGCTGAAATCTCTATTTGACAAGGTGTGTCAACAGTACTTGGAACAGAGCATTGAAGCTTCCCACAGGATCAAGAGACTTGTCCTCTCAAGCTTCACCAACCCAAAGTCGAAGTATGAGGTCTTTCCAGACATGAGTGGAATCAAAGCCAAACAGCTTCGGTGGTTGCTTCCTGTGCTCTATGAAATATGTGTGACTGAACTTGGCAAGGCTACAGATGCTTACAACAAACACAAGCTGGCCTGCCTTTACAACCTGAACAAGGTGTATACAATCATTGATGAGCAGGGCTTGCACATGGATCGAAAGGCCCACAAGTCCTTGCTGAAGAGCATGAACTTGTTCTTGGTACACTACACAACTCTGAGTTCTTTGAGCATAGAGCAGGGGTATCTCCAGTGGAATACGATCCACAAGCATCACCTCAGTGCCCATTTAGCTGAACAATCAGAGTGGGTTAACCCCAGATTTGTGGCAACTTACCAAGGCGAAACAATGGTTGGATTTATGTCTGCCCTAGCACACCAGTGTTTAAGTGGCACACCATCACATCAGGTGCCTTTGAAGGTGTGCTGGAGATTCAGGCTGGGACTACACCTCAGGCTGACTGGTGGCAATTTGGATTTGATGTCTGATGAGGACGATTCCAACTAGGTCCTGCACATAAGGGCTTTGCAAGTTAAGTATAGGTCCTGCACAAGGGCTCAGCCTCACTGACTTTGGTGTGGAAAAAGATCCAAGCACAGTTGCTGATGCATATGGTTCACTTCACTTCCATGCACCAAGACAAAGACAAAAAAAAAAAAACTTATTCACTAGAAAGTTTAAACCAATAAAAATAAAAAGTTTAGACAAAGACTCAAAAAAACCTTATTCACTAGAAAGTTTAAACCAATAAAAAGTTTATTGGTTTGAAAACCTAAACCAATAAAGCCTTATTGGTATATTTCAACAAACTTTATTGGTTTACATTTCAATAAAAGTTTTGTTTTTATTGAAACTGGTGGGCTGTATTGAAACAAGCGATATTTATTGAATTTTTTCAATAAGGCGTACTCTGGGTTTGGGATCAACGGCGTCTGCAACAGGTATCGAATCATCGAAACTCTGGTGGGGCCAGCGCAAATGAACTAACCACGTCACAAGTCCTCTGGCAAAGCCGGCTCCCCACAAGCAGTAGCGCAACGCCAGGGACTCGGCTATCTGTGCAGGAAAATTCATGAAAAGTAGTAGCGGCCAGTCTTCGTGCCCTCAAAAGCTGAATCCTTCTGCTCCTCCGTGGAGCAAAGCTGTTGGATCAGGTTGTTATGGAAACAACCCAAGTCACAGCATAAGTTGAAGTGCTCCTGAACTCGAAGGCGTTCATCATGAAAATGCTGAAGTGGAACTGGAACTTGCTTCGTGACTGAAACCAGGTCGCGGCGGGCTGTTTTTGGCTGCTATGTCTGAAGCCTCGTTGCCAAGCTGCAGAAGAGTATTCCAAGGCATTGGACCAGGTTGTAACTGGTGAGATTGCGCTTTTGTAAGCTGAGCTGCGTAGCCAGCGCATTGTCGCTGAAGGTCATCCAACTGGGCCAGAAGGTCAAGTTGCTATATGCCTGACAATGGGCAAGGCTGGGCAAAGCCAAGACCATCTCGCTTGTACCACCATTGCCAGTTCAGATCTTGGAATTGTCGGTAGGCCCTGGGTGGGTGTGACTAGCATGGTGACAAATTCCGGCGGAACATGTCCAGAGTGAAAATATTAGTTGACAAGGTTCTCAACCTGGGCAGCTGTACCAACAGAGTGTGGCGAAAGAAGGACAGCCGCTGCTTGCCGTGCTTCCGGAATATCTGGAGGAGCTGCACAGCCATCTGTAAAGATCAGCGGTCGGAGGCCGCGCTGTTGACCCCCAATCACTGCCGGAATTTGCATAGCCCACCACTGATCAAAACAGCATCCTGGGTGCCGGAAAACTGCTGGTAAGGTCGTCAGATTGCATCATGCTCTTTGCTTAATGTTCCACCAAGTCCGCGTATGGGACGTGGGCAGTATATGACAACCGTCGGGGCAACTCCCGCAAAGCAAACTTGTCAGTGAGATCTCCCACCCACTTACTCTTTCGGTGCTGGACTTGATAAGATCGGGTGAGCTCACCAGCCAGAATTTTGAGTCGATCGGCCGGGAGGCGTACAAACGGGGAAGGTGTTGCACGAAGATCTGAGGAAGTCCTTTTTCCAGTCATTGCGTGAACGCAATTGGTTTGCAGGTGGCGTTCCCATGCAAAGGGATGGGTCGGACAGAAAGCAAAATTTATGGCAGACATCCTTGTGGAGAGCTGCTTAAAGGCTAGTATAGGGATGAGACTGAGGTCCATGATAGCGCGAGCCATAGCCGTGTGCAAGTGGTTCATGGACAGACACCTGCAGGTGGATGTCAGCGCCATAAAGCGTGCGCGACAACGGTGCACGAAGAAGATGGCATTTGCATGCCAAGGTATGTGGCAGTCGTGCAATTCGTTTGCATTGCTCCATATACCCTCCTCATGACGTGCAAAAAATGTCCGTGTATTCTGACATCGGGAATACGCCAACATTTAGCCAATTGAGCTCTCTTGCATTGGTTACTCGAAGGAAGTCATGAAGTTGTGGAAAAGCCTCTTTAAGTCGCGTCCATTGTTTGGCATGATTCTGTTTCATCCAATCAACTTGGAGTCTCAATGCACCCGACCAAGAAATGGTGGTGGAGCAGCGCTGTATGACGCAGGTGCAGATTATTGAAGGTTATCCGCATAGTACAGGAGAGACAGGCACATGTTGGGTTCGCAGATTTTGGGCCCAAACTTGGGAGATGGCAAGGATGGCCACCACCAACCATGTGTCTCCCTCTGGGCAGCCTGTGATTTGGATGGAAAAGCTGGAGACTTCCATTTAGCTCCCGCAGATGAATGGAATGGCATGTCCAATGAGATTGAACATGGTTGAACACTTTGGTTAAAGGTTGCGCCGTGTCAAACCCGTCTGTTCCAGCCGCCGCTGGAAATTCACCATGGCATTCGCCAAGGAACGTCCTGGCAACAAAACACCATTTCTTTTGAAAAGCAAGCGGACCAGTATCGAAGGACCTTAGTTGTAGTGGCTCGGGCCCACAACCTGTAAGCGAAAGGACTGCGACGACTGCGATTGGACGCGTCAAGTGTGGTCCATCTGAGAATCTGTGTCCGAAACTTTTCCGAAAGGGACGGGATCGTGCGTGCCTTCATGAGAGCATCGAGTCCGAATGGTGCAGGAAGATGTGATATAAATCCTCTTGCGCTGCAGAAGGTAGATCACGAAACTCTTGCGCATGCCATCCACAAACTCCTCTGGCCGTAGTGATCTTGATATGTTGAATGGCCTGCTTCCACTCGGCCATGGTCAGTCGAAAGCTAATAGGTGGAAGTGCGTCTGTTTGACGCAACATTGCAAAAAAGTCATTCCTGTGGTGTTCTCACCATCTCTCAGCCAGTATTGGGCCCAATAAGCATTGAGTTCAATCTGCTATGACCTGATCTCGTTGTCCTGTTGAAGAAAGTCAAATTCAGTGTTCTGCTTCGTGCAAAACGATTAGACATGGTCCCCAAGGCGAAATTCCGACTGCGGATGGGCCTGGTCCAAATGGGTATCATTTTGCGAACCCAAGGGACGGAGTTTGGGCATAGTACAAAACCATCATTATATGTGGCACCCCTACATGTAGGGCGTTGTTCTCGATGATGAAGTCGATAAAATAGCTGTTGGGGCGTCACATACCCTCTTTCCAGCAAGACTTGGAAGGCTGGCAGTGTGGCTGGTGAATGATAGAAAATAGCTGCAATGCTTCCCCACAGGCATGCTTGCAAAGCTCATTAGTTAGATGCTTGGAGTCTGGGTGGCTAGAACGATATCCATAGATTTGCGCCGATTGAACCGTTTTAGACCCAAGAGTCAGAAAAGTGCGAATGGTATCTCCCAGCTCGGTACATTGCTAAAGGTTCTTGGCGCTGACCCAGTAATTGAGAGAGGGCTAGAAGTCCGGCTGCTTTCAATCGAAGATCTTCTGTTTCCTGGATTGTTGGTCTTTGCGCCAGCTGAGGCGGTGCCTTGCAGTTTCAGCGCCTTTGTCACCAGTTTCTGAACCCTTGTGTGGCAGGATCTCTGAACACAAGACTATACATGTCCCCCCTTAGTGGCCAAAAGGTCTGCCTTTTGATACACTGACGATGGATTGACATGAGAGAGCCAGATGCACCATTCTGTTTTCTCTGGCCCCGGATTAGTTGCTTCACTTATTCGACACGCTTTAAGCGGGTCAAAGCCACTTCACTTTTTCGACAGGAGGAGCATTTGTGGAAGATGGTGCGCGTGGGGCATGTTTGGGTCGTCTTGGTACTACCAAGCGTCTGAAGAGATCATTCCACAGCATCTCTTCTCCACGTCTGACCGCTGCAGAGGCATCGGAGCGCTGCACCACGTGCTCGTTTTTCTCCTCCTCGCACTTCTGCTCGCACTTCTGCACTTTGCACTTCTCGGCGTTCATCAAAACGACAGTTTGCATGCGTCGTGACTGGGGCCTGGACCGTCCCGATGCGGCGGGCAAGGTTTTCACGCTCATGTTGTAGCGTATACAGGACATGTCGATTCAAGAGTTCATTCACCTTGCCACCTCGCTGCCTGGCCTCATGAGCCACGCCCGCTTGGTAAGCGGCTAGCAACTCCAAAGGCTTTCGCAGCAGGGGCAGTGAAAACGAGAGTACAAGCATTAAGAGCTTCTGGTCAATCCGATCAAACTCAGGTTCCGACACGCTCCCACTGGCGGGCGCTAGGCTTCTTCGTTCCCAGCCCATCACCTCTCAGTCTCCCGGCACGACATCTTAACTCTCCTGCTAGAATGGCCTGCGACGTCGCCAAACCAGCAGCGTCGTGCATTGAAATTGGATCGACACACGGTTTCACCCAACTTCGCGTTCCTTTTCACCTGAGTTCGAACGATTTCAAACGCGTCACCCATTTTCTGCCGGAATTCACGGTACGTGACCTCGACTTCCACAGTTGATGTATCAAGGCCAAGGTTGCTTGCTCCATCATTGAGGTTAAAATCTTGCATGGCGTCGTCAACGAGAGACACCGTTGACGTTACCACAATCCCTGCGATGTAGATCGCCCAACACCCATGGATTGAGGTTCAGCGTGCCATGAAGGGACAAAACCAATTGGTTGGTGGTTTCGCTATAAAAAATACACGCCCTGGACCCTCAACTATTGGGATTTCTTTCCTATTGGGCCGGCTTGGCCGATTCCAACCAAAAGTAAACGGTTTCAACCGAAATTGAACGCTAGCGCTGCTCCTTTCTTTTCTTGATGCGCACACTCTAACGAGTCCAATCAAGTGGAACACCTGTAAGCCACAGTGCAAACAAGTGTGCGATCAATGAACATCTGACCGGTTCAACTAAATAGAAGGCGTGAAAGGCCGATTTGCAGTTTATACACGAGATTTTTCTTGTTGGATAGCACGTCCCTTGTCCACTCATCATCCCAAGGGTAACCTCTCTGTTCTAGTTGTGTGATGGGAACGCGATGATATCCTGAAAGCGTACAGGAGTTGCGTACTTTTACGGGTTTTTGTGTGCTATTTGCGTGCTTTTGCGTACTATTTGCGGATTTGTCTGTACAAATTGTGTCTTGCATCTTTACACATTAAATGTTGCACATCGAGTTGAGTGAAAACGCATAGCAGCATTTGTTGAGGGATGCTTCCATGTCTTGAACTAGTGGTGGCTAACTCAGCATCCAGCTCTTCAAAATGTGAATGCTAGGAATTAGGCACCTTTGTTTTCGACCCTGTCAAATGCCTTCGAATTGCTGTCGGTTTTTTTTGTTTTCGCAAACCTCCAAATATATATATATATATACACAGTCCAATCGTCCAATCACATCAATTCTTCATGAATTGAACGGTTCTCCTTGCTCAACTCCAGTTATTGAACTATTGGGCCAGAATGTCCAGTTTGAACGGTTTGAAGGTTTTGCGACCTTTTGCGGCCAAAAGTGTTGAAACAACCAATAGTTAAGAAAAGTCTTCACGTTTGAAGATTCATCACCGATTTTGCTGGAGGAGGACTTCCGGGAACAACGGAGATCGTGCCCCCTCAAACGCGGCGAGTGACACGAAGCTGAGGGTGTTTCCACGGTTTTGGTGGATGACGCGGCTGAAAAACTGGTGGAACAACTGCGAGCGTCTGTACGCCTCGGTCCTGGACCGGACCTCCCGACGATCGGAGCTCCCCGCCCTGCTGTATGCCGCTTGGCCACTGCTGTGCCGCGTGCATCAAAGGAGTGGCACCGTTGCGGTTGCGACGTTGCAGATCTACACCTGACATCAACGAACAGAGCAGCCAGAGCAGGCCCCTGTGACACGGCCCCCGGATTTTCTGGGATGAAAGAAAGCACCCAACTCCTAGCAACTCGGAGCTGTTGAACTGTGGGTGTGTCATTGGAAGGTGAATGGCAGCTGCGATCGGATGAATGGCAGCTGTGATCATCCTTTCGGTGGTTTTCTTCATCTTGCAGCACCCCACTGGCCAAAGCTAACCGAAGACTTGGCACTGGACATCAACGGCGGTCAAGACCAGGGGACGCTGGTTGACCACCGGAGATGACCAGAATAGACCTAGGGATTAGGAGTGCGGGTTTCCTTAGGATAGACATCACGGCGTGTGACTTTGTGAAGGGGAGGGGTGTACCTCACAACAAGGAAGAGTTAGCAAATTGGAGTGCGCAGTATACGCCTTTTTCAAAGGCACAAACTAGGTAACCTCAATCCATGAAGTACAATGGGCTGAGACAAATCGCGCGATGAAAAGGCTTCCGGTTGCCCATTTCTCGAGTTTGTCAACAACCCAGTTTTGGGATGCTGTCAAAGTACTTGTACCTAGACCAATCAAATGACATGCTTGGAGGTGCTACCTAGTTACGGCCCTTGAAACAATTCCAGTGTTGTTTCTCGCACAAATGTGGGCACTCTCTATAGTCAGTCTTGATGCATACAATTTCGAGATGCACATGATTCGAAGGTGGAGAAACCGCATCTTGGATCAACTTAAGGCAGTATCTCTTCAATTGTTCCTGTCGTTGTGGATGTCTCACATTCGGTGAAGGTAAAACCTCCGTGCCCGAATGACATGAGCAGGAACAAGTGTTCTTCTCTGGTTGGTCTACCTTTTCTCTTTGCGCTATCTATTTCAATAAAAAGCTTGACTGGCTGAAACAGAAATCGGTGAACCTTGGTGAACGAGTGATTGAGCGATACTGCACATCGACTGGACTCGCACACCTTCCAACCGACGCTTCGGCGGTGGGTCTTGCGATCCCCGCGACGCTTCTCACACAAGAACTCCACGATCGCGTGACAACCATAGTAGGTGGCATGGTGCAAAGGCGTACCTAAGAGCAGCTCGTGCGGGCGTGCGTGCGGGCCGCTCGGATCTGGATTCGAGAATCCCGAAGGACATAAAAGAGATCTCCAAGTCCGGAGATCCCTTGGATTCTCCAAGTCCAGAGATCGATATATCTCGAGTTGGTCCTCCTTCCCGAAAGGCTTGGCGGAAGACGATGAGTTGGAAGAGATTGCTGGAAGAGGTCTGTACCGCAGGGGCGCGTTTTACGGCAGGCCCTGGATGGATTCCGTTTGAGACTCCCGTTGATCGACACACTCCCTGGAACGGCCCCATGGTTACGTGGATGGCATGACCCCTCGGAAGACCATGAGTTTTCCACTACAAACAGGAGGTGAACTCCACTTCCATGGACCAGTTCTAGGGAGAGTATCCGACCACTAAAAAGGCCAAGATGTGTTTCCACCGTGAGGCAGTGCACTCCCTGGAAGCATCATGGTTACGTGGGGTTCACCACCTGTTTTTAGGGGTAGTAGGGGTCATCTTACATCGTTGTTTTACCACATGTAACGTTGAAATGTGTGGGGATGGAGGCTATAAATATGTTCCAAAATAAGTCATTATCACCTTCCCACCCCTTCCCACCTTAACCTAAACGGACTCTCGAAATTGCGAAGATCCTTCAACAACCACTCACTTAAAGGCATCACATCACCATCATTACCTTAATGTTGCCCGCAAAGAACCTGTTTGGCTCAGCGACACCCATCGGCAGAGGCTTGGTTGAGATCCGCCCTGGCGTCGTAGAGCAGCGTCACGATGGACGTTTGTCCGTTGGAGGCGGCCAAGCACAAAGCGGTGTTGCCATAGGCATCCTGTTCTCGCTACGCGCCACTCGCCGCGAGTTCGCTCAACTCTCCAGAGCGATGTGGGGGACGAGAGCTGTCGGTCCGGCGGTCGAGAGCTGCGGCGCTCGTCAGTTCGGTCCGTCGGGTGGAGATTGGGTGAGAACTCACTCGGCGGGGTCCAACGCAGCTTTTCCACTATCCCAGACACGACCGGACTGGGACTGGCAGTTCGGACTGCCGAGAAACGGCCAGGGGTGGCTGAAAAGGGGGGTCAATGGGGTGGCAGTCCTATGGCAGTCCGGTCGCGTCTGTCGATGGAAGATGGGGAAGGCCATCTTGGCCCTCCGTCACAAGCCGCTATGTGCCGCTATATCGAATTCCCAGGGCAAAAGAGAGGGGGCTTGCCCATGGCTTGCCCATGCTGTTCGCCTGTCGTGGGGCAACCATCGCGTCTTCGGATGGAATTTGTTCGTCACTGTTACATGGCAGTTCGGCGTTTTCTCTATCAAACACCGGATTTGTAGGATCGTATTCTTTGGCATGGGGGCAACAACATTTGCCTTCCATGATGATTGACCACGTGAATCCCACACCATGAGGAACAACAACTCAGAAATGATGCCCAGAAGGATTGGCCTTTTCAGGTGAACAGAAGGATTGGACGAACTCAATCCAGCCCCACAAACGAACTCACGAACGCTTGAGAACGAGTTCTTCCCCGGCCCCCCTGTTCCGGTAAGGATCGGTGCTTTCCACGTCGGCGCCCTTGTGCAAGCAGCTCCGGGTCATTTCCAAGCTCCCATCGCCCGCGGCGCGCAGCAGCTGCGGAGACCACTGTGGATCGATCGGCAAGACCACCAGGTTGAAGGTGAAGGACCTGGGTCTTCCAGCCGATCGACCCTTCAAAACTGGTCAAGAAGGAGCTCACAGAGGAGGTGCACCGGACCACTGGGGATGGTCAAACCGACCGTTTTAAGACGTTTAAAGGTTTGATATAAGGTTTCAAACCCAACTCGAATGGACAACTGGGGACCTTTAAAGGTACTGATAAGGTTTGGTGTTGGTTTTGCAAAATTGGGCCTTTTTTCATCGTCCCCGGGACGGCATGAATCGCCCTGGCATGAATCGCCTCAGAATCCCATTTTTGAAGACCTTCATCAGGTTATGCTGAAACAACATGATCAACAGATTCAACAGGGTGGCTGACCTCGGTTCGTCTCTGGTGGACTCGTAGCATACGTCCGCTATCTCAGGTTCAGCCATCGGATGTCGCTGGTGTCGCTGGTGACTTCACATTCGGCTTTTGATCCTTTGGGACCTTCGTACGAGGTGTTTCTCGTCTATAGAGTCTTGTGGTGGATTGGTGACATCATCGGAAATTCTTGCATCACCACATTGATTCCAAGGCAGAACAAGTGCCACCTGTACCATTGGCCCATTCCCTGTGGAGAAGCAAAAAAGCAAAATTGCCATCCAAGCCGTCCGGAAGGGTTGAGGATGTATGTGTGTTCTACTGAACAACTTGAGATTTGATTCATCCAAAGGGCTCACAAAACTCCTTGCTGAGACCCTTGCAGAGCTTGAGCAAAACCAAAAAAAGGCAAAAATGGCCTTGTCTTCAAACAAGGAGCCTCTTCAACAAAAAGAACCCTTGATAAAACATCATGAGCAATCCATTCAAACCAACAAAAGGACACACCCAATTGGGACAAATCTTGGCAGCAAAGGTTCTCCCTTTCATTATATATTGTTTTCCTGTATCTGAGGTGGTATTTTGGAAGACTTGTCAACCAAATGCTTGAAGGATCAACGGCCCATTTCGTGGAAAAAATGGGATCTCAACTCCCTTCCCACGTGGTTTCGTGTGTCCAATGACTCCGCCGCTATTCCGAGCTTGGCGGAGCTGAGCTGTGCCGAGCCTTTCCGATTCCAGGCACCAAACGGGGGAGACGTCTATGCCTGCGTTCACCATCAATGAAGCAACCAACTTCCAAATGATTCCATAATCTCGAGTGTGTATTTTTTTTCCAAGGGAGACCCCCCACGTGAAGAACAAGAGGGAGCACCAGGCCCCCCAAAGAACCAACGGTGAAACAAACGCAGTGGTGTGTGGGTCGAGCGACCGTCTAGGGCGCGCGAGCTGCTGCGATACCCTGCAAGGGATGTATGAAGGGATACATTTTAGTTAGATTCGGTACAGATCACATAGGAGTTCAGGCGTCAGGTTCCCATGTATATGTTCAATATCCCATGTCATCTGAAGGATGTTACTCTCACATGAAAGTGGCACATGGGCATGTAGAGTCAGAGGAAGAATCGTCTTGAAAAAGAGGCCATGTTCCACTTTCATGCGAGTTCCAGGGAGTCTATGTGCCTTTAAGAAGCAACATCTTCAACCACCTACCACTGACCACATGCCACCAAGTGGCTTGCCTTCGGGGCCTTCGATGTCGGTCAACAACTCTTGTAAAGTCTGATGGTCTTGTAGTTTCACCTTGGCCAAGTCAGCAAACCCCACACACATCGTTAAAACACCACGAGTCGTGAGGCTTACAGAGGCTTAAAAGGTCCAGTAGTTCTGGAATCAGCACCACCTGTGGTTCTTCAGCACCAGCTCGGTCCCCACGGTCCCGGCCGTTTGAACACACACCTCGGTCCGGTCCCGACCTCGATCCATGACCTGAAGGGCCCTGCATCTCGAAGGACGATAAGAACAAGAGTTCCTTCTGGTCAGCAAGATGTTCTACCAGCTTCTTCAGTTCGTGACCTTTTGAAGGTTCAGTTCGTGACCCTACTCGGAGTCGGAGGCTTAAGTGACCGAACCAACATCCCCAGGTGATCAAGTTAGGTCACTTTGAAGAACCAGGTATGTTGTTCTCATTAACAGGTTCACTTGGTCCAAGTAGGTTCTGGTGAAACCAACATCGAGTCTAGACCTCCGACTTCCACACACTCCACCGCTGTCACCAAACTGCACAAGTGTCAACGTGTCTGCGCAAGCCCAGCTACTCAAGGTGAAACAACTTCATGTCAGTCATGCATGCTAGATTTGAATAGAGTTGATAGACTCTGTCAGAATCAACATGTGGTTTTACTCTATAGAAGTGTCTTTTCAGTGCTTAGCAGTGGGATTCCTTCTGGTCCCTGCATGCGTTCGGTCCCTGGTGAAGGGTACTGTCTACCCGTTTTGAAGTGCCACATGGTGCAGCGTCCCAGCGTCGGAGTCCAGCACCAGTTCTTGTTGGAAGGGCTTATTCGCCTGGAGATCTTCGTAGATCTTCTGCTTCACTTGTAGGACTGTGAGGTCCTGAGCTGTGTGAGTTCCGAAGCCGTCATGGAAAGCAGCTCAGAAACGAACGGGTCTTTAAGGCCTTGGGTACAGCGATTGGTCGGGAAGAGCAAGCAAGCAAGGCAAGGCAAGGCAAGCAAATCAAGCCAACCAGCACGCAAAGAAACAAAGAAAACCAGGCAGAAAGCCCGCCAAACAAAAACACACAAAATGATGTTTAAAAGGGTCTTTAAAAATTAAGAACTTGCAAAAGAATCAAGTACGGTATCAATTCCAAACGAAAGGTACAGGTTGGTGCTGGAGGGAATCAACAAAAAGTGACCCACGAATGGACCTGTCAGAATCCTATTTTCATATGTTCACCTCCTTTCTGCTTGGCCATGCCCTCTCAAACCCACCAGTCAAAGGGAACCTGGTGCTTCTGGCAGTTCCTTAGCCTCATTAAACCAAATCTCTCCAATGTTTTCTTTGTACACCCCACTCACTCGCCTCCCTCGCGGTCCCTCGGATCTCCGTCTGGTCTCTGTGGGCACCGAGGACGACCACACCGTGCGCCCGCCAATACTTTGCACCGCGATCCACACAGAGCTCACGTCCGAGCCCGACCCCGGACTCGCCATGGCGGTGCACGCGTCGCGGACTCGGGACTCGTCGGACGGCGGGGGGTCGTTGGACAGGATCTGAGCTGTGCAGGTGGGTCGGGTGTGCGTCGAACCGTCTGTCTGTGAAGAAGAAAGACCTCTCCAAGCGCCTCTTCAGTTCAACCAGGTGTTTCGTTGTAGAAAACCCATGAAAAGGACCGGGCCACGCCCCGTGCTTCCTGTGTCCGATCCCCCGGCCGGGGCGGAAGGTTCTCCAAGCACCAGGGCCAAGGAGAGACAGTGCCTGGAGTCATGCCAACCCCATTGGTCACCACTGCTGTCTGAAGGTTCTCCAAACACTGCCTGTGTTTGCTGGGATCTTTGAAGGGCCGCCCTGGACAGTTGCTGAAATACTCATGGAAGTGGAGTTCACCAGGGTAGCGAAGTGGAAGTATCCCAGTATCCCTTCTCGTCAGCCAATCCCAAACACTCCATGTATGCCATATATATATACTATGGGGTGGTTTTGGGGGTCGATGTAGGCATATATTTGATATGGCATACATGGAGTGTCTGGGAATAGTAAAAGGCCATGGTTCCAACATGTTCCAACATCAGTACTGATCTTCTCCAAATGAGCTAAACATCCAGGGTGCACAAAGAATCTGAAGATATCTATAAAGCTTTCAATATAGCCGTTGGCCCGGGTTCATGGGTTTACACTGCTCTCTTTGGGAAACAAACCATTACCCTCGCGGTTGAGTACAAGTCCTTTGCCAGTCGCATCCAAACCTCCAAAGCACTGTAGGCCCACTATGGATAAAGCCACCTCAAATCCACATGTTTCTCATATGAGGAAAGTGTCAAACAGTTGAGTTCATGAAGTTTGGCGGCCAAACGACTGACCATGTACAAATACATTACATATTGTCCGTTCTGTTGCAGCCCGGATCGGTTGACATTGAACTCTATGCACAACCTTGGTCCTGATGATAAGTTCGACTTGCACCTCCGTCTCAGTCAAAGTGGTGTGAAAACAGTAAAGTATCCCAAACCGGCAAGTATCCCGTGCTTGCCTTCCAGAATTCCAGCTGACATCTTTGGAATATATCACAACGTGCATGAGTCAACCCGGTTATCCCTTATATAATTGGGTAGATCACATCTGTAATGGTACATTACATAGTACATATATAGATGTTGATGATTAAAACTTGGGGACCTGTACCTGACGACACACACATTCCACAAAGAAGGTGTAGTTCTGCCGTTGCAGTATTTGTTTTGCAGGGAAAAGCACTTAGAGTTGTTGCCTTGTCAAGAGTGGCGTCGCGTTTTCCAAACGACTTGATTTAGCCTGTCTCGACTCCTGTTTAATCACCTATTGGGCAAGTGCAAACTGGATCAAATTGGGAGTTTTGAACATCTCTGGGATCGAAACAAATCCAAAAATGTCCAGTCGCTTCAAAACTCGCAATGAATCACTGTGGGTGACTCCCCAGTTGCCCACCCACCCTGACTCCCCAGTTGCCCACCCACGCGGAGAATTCATGCCGCGCCTGGCGGCAACGAGGCCTGGCTCTGTGGCGGCAACGATGCATTCTGCGGAAGAAAAGGCCGGTGAAGAAATCCACGTTTTGTAGGGAGTGTGTAGTGGAGTAAAACGGGGTCTCCCACTCAACCAAGGGGAGACGTGGGGATGATGTTGATACATGATCCACCATAAGAAAAGGTCTTGTTTGGATTCCTCAGGGGGCTTCGTAGCATTTTGGATGCCTTTCGTATCCTTTGTCCATCTGTTTTGGTCAATTGTGGCGGATGATTCTTCTTTGATCTGCTTTGCAAAATCTTCCGGGCATTTCTGCAGATCTTACCACCCGAGCTTTTGCTTAGTGGGTTCATTGAGGGGGCCCAGTATACTCCTTATTCCTAAGATAGGATCGCTCTGCTGAAACGATATAACTCTTAGGCGTGTGGCATCAAGCCTTACTTTAAAGCTTTAGCACTCAAATCCTCGAGACTTATACGTAGTACAAGTAGCAAACCAAACACCAAACATCACTCCGCTGCATGGCGAGGTCTTTTCGCTGGGTCGGTGGCACCAGAAAGTCTGGCCGATCGCTCCCCGCGGCGGAAGCCGTTCCGGACACCAAGTGATTGACGTTGAATGGCCCAAAATTGATCTCAGAAATCCGCACTGGAAACTCCAAGCAGCACCGGCATGACACATCTTTCTTCCATGAGAATGGCGCGTTCCGGGAACCAAACACCGCGCGGTTTGAGCTCCACGGTGTTTCTTCCCAGCAACTCGGCCCAAATGTCTGGGCGCACCGCCATCAAGTTTTTTTGGTTTCGGCGGAGAACTGCAGGAGTCCTCTCTGTCCTCTGTCCTCTCTCTCTAATTCAAAACACCTCGCCTCAGTGTATCTTCAGCTGTGGTACCGGTGTTGGGTGTCTAAGACTTGAGTTCCTTCAGTTCCTTCCTCTCTCTCCGCCTTCGGAATCCGCTGCTGGGGCGTGGCAAAGGCACCTGACTGACGGAGGTCACCGTGTCGATGACTGACCTAGTGGATTGAGAGGTTCGATGGCACAGACCCCAAGATCTCCTGAACAGATGGGGATCCATATTAAACCATATATAGATCACAAGACACATTGATCCGGATGAGGATCTATATGCACAGGTCCATATTAGATCGACCACCACCTTCTTTTGGGGTATATACACCATCGATCATCGATCCTCTGAAAAAACCACTCTTTTTCCACACATAAAAAACAACCCAAACACTCCAGGTATGGAATATATGCATTGACCCCCAGGGAACCCCCCTCAACTGATCGGCAGTCCGACATGGCAGTCATGAGTCGTGTCTGGGTTCCACGATGTTCCACGGTGGTCCCACGCATTTTTTCGAGGAATGGACTCTCGTCTAGCTGCGGTTGGTGTTTTTCAAGCACGAATCGCATGCAGGTCCTGCTTCATAAGGATTTGTTTTTTCCGTTGAACAGCACGGTGAGGGAGCTGATTTTTGAATATGTGTTCACTGGAGCAAAGGGCCACATGGACCCAGCAGCTTTTGGCTTCGCCATGAAACCCGAAACCGCGCCTTGGGGGTCAGCCAGGTGTAGCTCGCAGCTCCTGATGCTCAGAGAGGAGCTCGGGGCCCGGGGTTCCAATCGAGCTAAGACCGCATGGTTTGTGGCTCGGTCGTTGACCTTTTTGTCGCTACTCACCGAAGAAAAGGTTTACAACCACATCTTGGAACCTGGAACGATGCGCCTCACTGTCGTTCCAAAAGAGGAAAACAATGGACAACATATTGAATCGAATCTCGTTGATGCTGGCAATCCGAAAATTTGCAATATATCGAGTCATATGTCATATTCAACAATATAACAGATTTTGATTGTATACAGGGCAGTGCTTCATATTAAGCATCGATCTCTAATGAATGACGGTAGATGGCTCATTATTGGTCGACTATGTCATCTCGTACATCGCTTCGGTCATTTCGTCCGTGCGTGGAATCGGCCCCATGTCGAAAACACATCATGGTCTGAAACTGGCGTCCCAGAAGGATGCTTTGACACCAAAAACCACGAACAATACAATACACAGCTTTCTCACGTTTGGATGAAACAAACTACGGCCATCCACGACACCGTCCATGATGGCAACACGTTGTACCGTGCCGGCACGAGTGCCCACTGGCGAGTGCCGGCACAGTACACGAGACTGCGGCTGAATGAATGCCTGAAAACCGAAAGAACCAGAAACCACCAGCAGCACCCATGGAGGGTTGTTATTAGGTGGAAAATAGATAGTCAGGGGGGTCTATAAACTACCCTTTGGTTGCTGGAAATGGATGTTGTATGGCAATTGAGATCCTTTACACGCTTGGACCGGTTGATTGTGGCATCCATTCGACATGATTTGACCCCAAATCTTGAACGCTTTCGCCGCGCCAAGAAGAGGCGTCGCGGTCCAGATCTGGACGTGGGTTTTATTCTGAAGTTTGCCTTCACCTGGCTTTACCATGACCTCGTGCTGCAGGTTTGTTGGTAAACATACTCAAGAGGAAAACACATCATTGTCAACGACAAAAAAAGGAATGTCCTCCTATCTTCGTTGCTTGTCGCTCGAGTCAACAAAAACGCTCACAGTGTGGACAGTTTGCCTTCACAGTTGACATCGGCAGTTCCTGGTGTAAATCGGCGATCTTGGGCCCTGGCTTGTGAGACAAAGAAACAAACTTCCTTCGCCAAACGCAATGACACGGTGCATTCAACACACAAACGCAAGCTCCATGGAGTTGCAAGGTTCCACAGTTCCACACTTCTACCCCTCTTAAACCTGATGACAAAAGAATGTGATTCTATGAACATGGAACTTGAACAAACATGTACCCGGTACCCTAGAAGTCCAAAGACTATATGTTCACCGACTGATGTAAAGGATATTCCTTTTCGGGTCACCTAAAGACCATTCTTTTTGTAGTCTTTGACTCCCAGGGTGTACAGCAGATTAATTATATGCCTCCCAACAGCCTCAGTGCTTGTGGCTACCATGTGGAAGAAACACCTATCTTCTCACATGGTTCCATAGTTTCGCACCCTTCTCCAAGGTTCGTTCTGCGTGATTTGGGGCGTCCTCCAACTCGGTCGAAAGTGAGAACCTTCTCCGTCCGGAGGCCAGTGGGCCATGGCACCTGGAGCCTGTTTCACCTTGCTAGGACCTCCTGTCACCTTGCTAGCCTGTTCATCCATTCCTGGGAGAAAAAGAACGACCTGGTGAAGCCGTGAAGGTGAGCATCTATTCGGTTCAAATCTCCAGCTTCAGTGAAGCGAATGTGTTCTTTCCCCATCCAAGAGTCTCCCGGGCCTGGTCCCATAGACAAGCCGCAAGCCAGAGGTGAGGTGAAAGCCGTCACCGTTCGATCTACTGGCTAGCGTAGCTTCTTAGTTACTAGCAGCATTTGTTGGGGCCGGGCTTGCTCGCTATCCAACAGCGCCTGAACAAGATTCAAGCCTCCCAACCCAAAATAGCAAAAGCGAACCTAATATCCATGGCCTCCGCCCGAAAAAGGCGAGCGTAGCTTACCTCTTC